ACAAAGAAGCCATGCCATTAACAATACCAACCAGCTACATTTTAATTAGAGCTGTAGACAGTTCATTTGCCCATACACGCCTCCTTGACTCTGCTGGTCAACTCTCAATTCTGAGAACCTGAGTTTTCAACTTGTCTTCTCTACATCTGATTCTACATACAGAAGGATGAAAATTTTGTAAGCTCCAGGAATGAACCCTCCAGGAAAGCTTCGTGCAATGATTGGGGTCATTTGATTCAGAATGGGGCCATGGTACTGTGGCAGAAGGATATCTAATGCTTTCCAGTGAAGGAATGCTTCAGAAAAAGGGATGCTTCCTCTCCCCACAGTAAGTTGCTTTTGCTTTCAAACAGCTGCCAAATATCAAACCAGTTTGGAAGTCACTAACAGCCTATGATTCTACAGGTGGTGATATTAGTGAAATTTCACAGAAGTTCAGTGCAGATTCCCTGAATGCTATATCAGAGAAAACACAGAGGCACTTAGCCAGGTACCCAAACTACTGGTAAGGAACAGTTCCAGTCTAACCAAACTTCTCCTGGCCACCACTGAAGTAAAGGAGATGCCATGGCACTTGAAAATGTAACATGGAAGGACAGATTGCATACCTGTAGCTTTTAGTTCTTCAACTGGTATCTGTACTCACACAAATGAGTTATCCTGCACCTGCGCAATGCACCCTTTAGCATCTTCTAGAGTATTACAGAACCGTTTAGAGATCATGAAGAAGAACCATTACCTGCAAGGTCCTGCGCTTGTTGTCCTCTGTATGTATCCAGGCACGTAATGTCAGTTCTGTGATGAATATCTGAGCAGCCTTGGCAAACAGAACAGGTGCTTCAGCACTAATCATCTACAGAGAAAGCAGTCACTTTTTAGCCTAATTGATACGGTTAAAAACAAAGTCTGTTGCTCAATTCTGCCCCCAAAGGGTTTGTAAATTAGTTTTTTTTTAATTCAAAACATTATTAATGGACTAAACATATATGCAAAAACATACATTTGGCAATTTAAGCCAAAGCTGTGAAGTGCTATAAGTAATGCACCTTCCCCATTATCATTCCCTCTGGATCCACACAGTTCACACTCAGTCACTTCCCCCAAACTGGAAGTACTGTTACTTCCAATTTCAATTTTTCAATATTTGGGGACTATTTCAGGTTGGAAAGCACACCAAACAGAGTATCATGCCTCCTAGAGGTTGGTGAAGGTCTAATTCTTTGTTTTAAAACCAATTCTTCTTTTCACAATGGTGGTGTCTGAATGCCCCTTCTGCCAGAGGTTACACAAAAGCTGTCAGGGCTGCACTGTAACTCAAGCACCACATAATTCTCACCCATGTTTTCAGGTCTGTGGCTTCTGTAACTCTGGATAAGACACACATCTTTCCATATATAACAGGAAGTGCCAACATTGCTTCAATTTCAAAATTTCACTCCAAACAGGGCAGATACCAGATCTGGCCCAAAGTAACCGTACACACTTTGTAATCAACTCTGGGATCACCACAGAACTCCTTAAACAATACCAAAGAACTAGGCACGTGCGCACACACACACACACATCTCATTTTTTGGAGAGGTAGGTTTGTGTTCAAGACTAATAATGTGACTGGTCAATCCCCAAACAGGTACAGGGTAGCAAGTGATTTGTGTATTGGGATTTAATACATTAGGATCAGTCTGCTACTGTAAACAAACTTTTATCAGATGTCAGCATAAATATACTAAATACACACAAGAAGAGGAAAAGTGTTTTAATCAACCATACGTCATCTGCAAGGTAACATAGCTTCAAAAGCAAAACCAGACAAATAAAGATGGTGAGATATGGCGACTGAGATTAAAAACAGTATTATTCAGATATTTGCCCAGCTGCATGAACTTGGAACATTTTAATCATCATTACCTGAAGCAATACAAAAATGCTGAAGTCAGGTCGTACTCCTGATCTATGAAAGTTTTTGCATTTTCCCCCAGCTCAGATTTTCTCCAATAATGCAGTTTTCAGCAACACTTTCCCAGGTTTGAGTGCTGCCAAGGCTAGCTTGGAAGAAGACAAAAATAACCTGCCCCCAAATCTTGCTACTAAGGCAACAGAGGGGCAGAAGCAAGTAGAAAGACTTTGTGTGGCAGCAAGTGTAGGCAACTGCAGTCTTCCAAGATGCCTTTGCACTACAGCTCTTATTATCCCTTACCACTGGCTATGCAGGCAATGGGTTGTAGGCGATGTAGATGAAAATTTTTGGAGGAACACATTTGTTCATCCTGACTTTAAAGCAGGGGTAGGCAAACTGTCCCCTTTAAGGGCCAAGGTACTTCAACTCCCGGAAGCCTCAGCCATGTTGGCCAATAGTCTGGGATGTTGGCCAATTGTCTGGGATTCTGGGAGCTGAAGTCCCTCAGCCCTTAAAGGGGACAGTTTGCCTACCCCTGCTTTAAAGTGTGAAAAAGTCACACAAGGGAGAAAAGCATGTTTTTGCTGCCACCAGGTTTAACAGCTACTAGTTTAGATAGTTTTATAAGGAGACCAAATAAGAATCCAAGGGTTTATCAGTGGCTATTAGTCACAAGCGCTATACAGAAGTGCCAGGCCAGGAAACAGCATGGCACTGAATCTTCACTGCTGGAGAGCATAACAGGAAAACTACTCTACTCCTATCCTGCTTATTCCCATGGGAGTATCTCCTTGGCCACTGTGAAGAATGTAGAACCTCCACCTTCTGAACTTATGGCCAGATTCAGCAAGACTTCTCTACACTGCATGAAATGCCCTCTAAAACAGGAGTAGGAAACTGTGTGATGGCTAGGTACCCACTTCCTCACAGGTGGCACCCCTGCCCACAACAAGCCCAAATGCTTCCTTTTGCTCGGGCAGTCCCTCTCAAAATGGTGGCATGGAGTAACATCATATCACTTTCTGTTGCCAGAGTATTTGAGGTAGTACAGAGTTCTGAGGTGCTTGTGGAGACATTTTAGCATGTTTTCATGCACTGGGTGGGAGGTGGGGGGGGGGGGAACTGTTGGGAGGTTTCAAGAGCCATAGAAGTAGAGTCCAAGGGGCTGCATGAGGCCCATAGGCCACACTACAACCACTCCTGCTCTGTAGGGAGACCTGACAACACCTTCTCTCTGTACAAAAAAAGGAGGACTGAACTTGATTCTGTTGGCAGAAGTAGCATTGATTAGTAATGCCACTCCAACTGTAAGGAGAATTCTTGTTCTGCCTGTATCTTTTTAGCAACCACCTTGGTGAACTACTTGGCTCCACATTTCAACACAATGACTGCATGTCATGCAAATAAAAATAAAGGGGAGAGTGACCTGCTTCAACCTATGAAGGTATACACAACCAGAATTATGCATGTGAGAAGCTGACAAACACTCCTAAAGCAGGATCCATAGAAGGCCCCAGACATGGTGGTCCTTTCAAGCCCAGATATGACCTACTTCCATCTGGCAAGCCAAACTCACCTCAAAATAATGTGTTGCCCCCACCTGCATCATGGCCCTTCATGCCAGCATCAGCATATGCGCTTTTGCTGCTTCCGCTCAGGCCACACCGGAAAAAAGGAGGAATTTTCTTAGATGTTTTCAATGATAAAACAATGGGGCTCAAAAGTCATTTATTGACTTTACATGAGAATCACACTTTTTGCCAGTTTTACCTTCACATCCTCATCAAGTTTCATGATCTTCTTAATGCGTGCCAAAGGAAGTTCCTGGACTCTGAAATCTTTCTGTAGAAATCAAAAGAAAAGAAGATATGTGACCCAGATACTCCAAATTCAGACATTCTACCGTAGCCACAAAAACCAGCATAATTTGGCATAGAAATGTACTGAATGGGATACTGCTCATATTTCCCAAGCGGAAGCAAGTTTGGTAACTTTGTATTTGGTGCTCACCTTATCTTTCATTCCTATTCCACTACTACAGGTATGCAAGCAGCCTACATTTGTTTTCTGGATAGTTTGGTTTCCTATAATCCAATTTCATTCTCCACAGATTCTCGGGAGGAAAAAAATATAGAAATATATAGCAATGGATTCCATTTGTTTTCAACCCACAGCATGCATTTAACTCAAGTCCACTAGAATGCATGTTGGCCACCGGCCAGCTAAACCAATTTGGGACGACAATTCCTTGGGTTTCTTTTCCCAAATTAGGCAAACAACATAATCTTCAAGCCTCTGAACTAACTCAGGAACTGTGACATGCCAGGAACAGAGTTGTGTGACTGCAAAAGAGGGCATCCAAAAACATAAAACTATCTCCTGCCCTGCAAAAAAGAGCACAAGAAACTAGGCTTAGAAACAGTAAACTCAACTCCCGAGGCTCTAAAACTAATCCTGCTTGAACAAATGATGTTTGCACATTATTTTTTTAAAAAAATAAGTCAGGAAGGAAAACCATTTTAAAGTTCAAGGGGAAATCTGCTTTACAGCTTCAGGGACATTACAAAAGAGACACTGATCTATCTTCCAGCTGTCCTTTAGTTCTCATGATGAGAAGACATGAGTTTTGTAGGGTCAGGAGGTTGTCATCTCGATCCTGAGTGCACACCTTAGATGATGTTACCTATTCCCTCTGACTGTCTGAACAGTCTCAACAGTGAATCCTCTCAACAGTGCAGCCAAAGTCCAACACAGTTCAGCATGCTGTTTAAACCACTCTGGGAACAGCAACACATTCCCCAGTATCTACCAGGTTTCTTTACTCTCAGCTCAGTTCTTTCTTCTTCTTTTTTTAACTTTTTTTTTATTACAGTGTATTTTCTTAAAAGCAGAAAATCTTGCATTTTATTGTTTTATATTTAACATACATCGTACATTGGTATTTTGTACTCTCAGCTCAGTTCTCTGTGTTCTTCTCCATCACAAGATTCTGGAAAGTGTGCATTCCAACTATATATGGAAATTTAAGCAGGTGGTAGGCAGGTCAGCATGTGAGATATCTGTTGAAATCAGGAAAGTCTAAAAACCCTGGTTCTAAGACTGAGACAGCGTGGTGTAGTGGTTTGATCATTGGACTATAACTCTGGAGGACAGGGTTTAAATCCCTGCTCAGCCATGAAAACCCACTGGGTGTCCTTGGGCGAATCACATTCTCTCAGCCTCAGAAGATGGCAATGGAAAACCCGCTCTGAAGAAACTTGCCAAGAAAACCATGTGATAGGGTCACCTTAGGGTTGCCCTAAGCTGGAAACAACTTTAAGTCACACAGAATTGGGGAGAAAACATAGGAGATGGAGAAGCAGGTATTTTGCTTGACTGATCTTTCAATACGGAACTGTGGCAAGGCCAACAATATGTCTTAGTCAGGTAACTGATGGAAATAAAACTTGTTCAGCTCCCATGTTCATCAGTGTGCTAAATACAGCTCAACAATTGGTACTAAGGTCATCTAAAACAGCAGGAAAATTAAACATTTTATATACCTGTTGGCTTCATGGCATATGTATAACAGTGTAATTCCATCTGTGTAAGCAGATATGTATATTTAAACAAAGCTTTGAGTATGTTCCTACAAGACATAATTTCAGCGCCAATTAGAAGCAGGGTAGCTGTAGAAGTCTCTGTATGTGTGAGCAATTATCTTTCTTTCACAATCCCTATTAAAACATGCACTCAGGCAGATGGGTTATTGCTTGACACTGAACGTTTTGTTCACTCACAATGCAACAAATTGATTCACGTGGCCAGCGTCTGAATTTTTTTAAAAAATGCATGTTTCTTAGAAAGCTGAAGAGTAAGACTTTGTGCCATGCAGAGCTAAAATCTCAAATCTACAGCTTCCATGTCAGAGAGCTCAATGCATCAAAGGATCAGAGCAATTAATTCTGGTTTTTATGCATCACGATTTCACCACTGGCCTCTGAAAACGTCTCTTGAGTGTCACACACTAAGAAAGGAAGCTTATCTTCAGCCTTCTGGTTCCAAGCTGGCTTCTTGGGTTTAATAGGTTGCACTAACTTAGCTTATTCTAGGAAATTAAACAACACTCTTCAGTTTAGAACCAACTACTTAAACATGGTGGAGATACAGATCTCTAGGGTCATTTGGTAAAGAAATCTACAGATAGCAAAACAAAACTGAAGTTTCTATTTCTAATTTGCAGCCCCACATAATAATGGCACACAAACATAGACAAAATCGGCTGTTTCAAGAAGGACGTTTAATACTTCCTCTGTAACTTCTCTTCCCTGCCAAACAAGACTGCAAATCAATGCAATCTTGACTTATGTTTAAGAAACCAATAACCATACAGTGTGAAGGAAGCCACAGCACTATGAAAGAGATTCCATTTCTGCTCAAGCATAAAAATACACAGAACCTCAAGTTAATAGATAAATGAAAATCTTCTCAAGACCTTCTGCATGAGACTAGTGGTGTTTGGTTTTTTTTAAAGGCCAGATCTGTTTTCTGGAAGCTCATAAGCAGGACATAGGAAAGCAGAAGCTCTTCCCCACTGCCTGACCTCTAGTGACAGGTATCCAAAAACACACATCTTCTGACACTGAGATTCCATTTAGCTATCATGGTAAATGAACACGAGTTAACACTGAAAATGGATCCTCTGTGAATCTGATCCCCTTTAGCAGTCAACCTTTTTTGTTGTCTCACAGCAATTCCTCTACACTCCCTGCAAAATTATTTTCAATACTTTCCCACAAGTGTTTTACAACTGTGTCTCTTCTTGCAAAAAACAGGGATTCTGGGGGTTCTAACTAGAACTATCTGATCTTCACAAAATGTTCCAAGATTCTTCTGAAGGCACATCATCACATTGATATTTCTTCCGTGAAATATGGGAGTTCACAAGGTTGGGCATTTTTTAATGATGGCACAAGTTTGATGGAGCAGCCTCCCAATAAAGACCTGCCAGGATTCTTCATTGCTTGAACTCCAGCAGAGAGTACCTTATTACTTCTTAAGGATTTCCCAGTCTGATTTTATTGCCCTGGCTTTTAAAATGTGCCCTGCTATTTTCAGTCTTATTACTGTTCAGTAGTATAACATTGTTGCAGTGTTTTCTGTATTGTAATTGTTTTAAATTTCCAATTTATGTCATCTTGAGCATTTTTATTGGAAACCACCCAATAATTTAAGCATGGACATAAAATGTGAGAAAATCACAGGTCACAGACAGCAGCCATGGACAGGGGGATTTGTTCTTAATCTGGTTTGCAATAGGATGCCGTAACGCCTAAGTGAGAAATTTAAGATGGAGAACAAATTTTTAGGAGCAGAGAGGACACAATCGGTTGCATGAAGAGAAACTGGGCAATGGTAAACTGTGCAGAAGAAAAAAGAGTTGCCATTCTTCTTAGCCACAGAACCTCTTTTCAAACTCAAAACTATTTTTGAGTTTTATTTTTCAAACTAAAAAACAACCCTTTCTTTTTCCACCAAATGATACAATATTTCTTATTGATCTAGTAGAAGGCATGGAGATAAAATCTGCAAGCACATGGAATTTTTGTATGCTCATTTCAGTGGGAATTTAACAATGTGGATAAACGGTGGAACTGAACAAGTCACGCTTCTGGCGAGTAAATACCGTGTTGTCCATTCTATAAAGAATTTAATATACCTTAGACTATGACCAGGAGCATCTCTTAATATGATATGCAAAGCTTTTAATGAAAGAGGCAGTTCAGCAAGATTTTCTTAATGGAAAATCAAGTAGTGGGTAGATTTTCTATCCTCTGATTGAAAACCCTAATGACTCTTTAAGGCAAAAAGTCACCAATCAGCAAAACATTCAGCTCCGACTCTTTTGCTCCTCTAGAAGGCAATGTCACCAAATATCTGTAGAAGAGAGATGTTCTCTACAAACACTCCCCAATAATTGCTCTAATGCTAACCAAGCTTTCTGGAATAAGGAATCACTTACCACTGTTAGGTTTCGAATCTCCTCCATGACCCGAGGCCAGAAAGACTGAAGGCACTGCTGGGCATCACTGCTGCCTCCTACAAAGCCCCCATCCGTGGACATTATGGTAACTGTAAAGAAACCAAATGACATATAAGAAGCGGAAGGGAACCACGGTTGGAGCTGCAAAGTTCAAAAAGCCTTTCAAGATAGTTTGCTTAAATGAACACACACAGTACCTTTAAGGTCATCCAAGAAACTGGAGAGATTTCCTGAAACTCCCTTTCATTATCATTAAGATTTTATATGTTCAATCTTGGAAAGATTTTTTAAAAAGTTATCAAGGGATTTTGCAAGCTCAGATTCCACTCCTATACACAGCACCTGCCTGAACGAAAAGCTTGCATTTGTGCCACAGCGGTGTATTTAGGATGCATCTTCTCCCACATGAACTTTTTTTGTCTTCCCCGAATGGTATGTGGAGATGCTGCTCTGCATCCCTTCTTCCTACAAGGCCAGAGTTGTTTGTGTTCTCTATCCTGGAACATACAATGTCAAACACTCCCCACAGAGAAGCTTTGACCATGCAACCTCCCTTCGTAATTCACACATTTCTGTTCACTAAGACTAAACACATACACATATATTACAACCTGCTGGACATAGTGAAACTTCTTTCAGAGATAACATACATATAAGAGCAGATTGTTTGACTTCCTAACTTGGCAGTATTGGTTGTGGCAACATACAGTGATTTCTTTTTAGTGTTACTGCTTATTTAACATTTTTGAATATTAAAAAGTGTTGCTTTGTATGAGGCTTTGAGAAACTTAATGGCGAACTAGCTTAGAAATGACGTACATAGAATTCAGGTCCCCTTAGCAAGGAAGCAAGGATGTTTTTTAAAGGGGATGATACCATGTATTTTAGCAGCACAGCCTTATGGCGATACCAGCAGCTGAAGCGAAAAGAATTCAAGAGTTGAACGTTGGGTTCTGAAATATTAAATACAAGAAAAGAGATTCCATATGCACATTAGAAAGATTTTTTTTTAAGTTGTGACAGCTGCCCTCCAGTACTTCAGAAGGTATGGACTCTGTCTTTGGAGATCTTCAAGAGGAGGTTGGCTGAACATCTTTCAGGGGTGCTTTAGTTGTGTATTCCTGCATTGCAGGGAACTAGACAGCCCTTGTGGTTCCGTCCAAGATCCTATTACTCCAATATGCTAGTGGTTTTCCTTTCTGTGCACATGCAGGGAGGCAACAGCAGGAAGGCATGGTTGTCATGCCCATGCCACTTGTTTCTCCAATTCCTGTCTGTGGGGGTATCCATGGAGTCAAGGGATTATGGGAGGGTAGCTTGAATAATTGCCTGTGCCCCAGGGCATGTGGCTCTCCAAGCATCTCCAAGCTGTCCCCATGCTACCCCTTCCCCAACTGTCTTGGCTTCTTGCTCCTTACCCCCCAAAAGCTAGGCAGTTGAGAACCAGGAGGCTCAGAGCTGGTAGCCTCCTCCTCTTCCTACCGCCACCACCTTTCTCTTTTTGCTGCCTTCACTTCCACTGTTAAGACTATGCAGAGCCAGTAGGATCCAAGCCAATGCTGCAGTATAATATACAGATAGTCAACTTACAGTCCCACGTGGAGCAAGATGTGATACTAGAGAGATGGGATGTGTGTCATATTTGTGTTAAAGCATTCATTCCCAAGCCACGTGTCATACAAAATGAGAAGAAAAACGATCAAAAGCTCTGACTCGCCCCACCCACAGAAGCGGGTGCCCACTGGATCTCCTCAGAATTCACAGCTCTGCTCTTGGCTCTTTCCTATCAGATAATTCTGTGTGTCTGCGGTGGGTGTGATTGGAAGATTTAATACAGAGCACTCCAGAACTACCAAACTTCAGAGGCTACAGATTCTGCCAGCTTTGGATGTTGCCCATTATTTCACTGCATGAGTCACGGATCCAAATTTGCCGCTTGGCACACTAAACAGAACTCTAAACCACAAGAGAAAAGCTCCTTTGAGGGCAAGGAATTTCTGCCTATGCATGCTAAGACGTGAATCTTGTCAATTTAATTCAGGAAAAACGTGTTCCTTGGCTATCAAAGAGCGGAAGACTATAGAGCAGCCATACCAGACATCATTCATTATCCTTTAGGATCCAGCATAGCACTACCCAAAATGGACAGGGAG